TTTTTTGTATTTTATTATTATTTTTTAGGAAAATGTAACATTAATTAAAGAAATAAATGATTTACGACGTGAATTAAAATCAGCTCGTGTTAAATTACAAGATTTACAAACAGCTATGGGTATAAGTCGTAAAACAGCAGCACGTACAACAGAAGAAATTGTTCAAGCATTAAATACACATCAAAATAATCATTTAGTTAAAGAAAAACAATCAGAATTAGAAAATTTAATTCAACGTCAACGAACTGAAATTCAACGACTTAATGAACAAATTGCAAATATTGAATCTGGTACAGGTCGTACTGGTACAGCTGGTGGTGGTGGTGGTGGTGGTGGTCGATCACGTCCATCATCTGGTCAATTACCACCAATTACATCAGCATTAACTGCTCATTGATATTAAACTATATTCAACAGTTCGAATTTCTATTTTTACTTTTCTTTTCAAAAAAAAAAAAAACTAAATAAACATTTAGCCTTTTCACATATACATGAAAACTATCTTATATTATATTATAATTTACATATACAAAACTCATGAAAATTTAAATATGATAATTGTATTCGATAGTTTTGAACTAAGTTTGATTTTCATAGATTTCAATATACGGTAAGATAAATGTTAGATAGTTTTGTCCTATTTTTCATAATATGAAATTCTCTTGAAATAAAAGAAATAATAAACTTTTAATATCAATTATAGAACAGACATGTTTGTCTGAGAAAAAAAAAAACGTGTTAAATAGATCGTTTTCTTTTTTTTTGCTCTTATAGAAAATTTCTTAATAAAACTTTTCATATGATAATTGACATCATGATATATCGAATATTAAAGAAAATATGAATATTATAAAATGTTGAAAATACATACTATGTGTTAATTAAAGAAATTGATAATTAAGTCAATAGCAAAAAAAAAAAAAAAGAAAAATGTATTACTAATTTAACGACCAGACAAATATGAATTTGATCTTATGATTTATAAAGAATATTTCACTTCTATTAGACAACCTTCTCAAATATGAGTACTTTGAAAGAAAAAAAAAAGAAAGTATTCATTTCCTTGTAATATAAATAAAAGTATTATAATTCTAAATTTTTCCAACCATCTCGCGCCATCTGTTTGACATATAATACAATTAAAATATTCAAAGTGTTCATTTACATTAATAATGGTAGCTGATTGATGATTGGTAGAAAAGTCATGTTTTATGTATCTCTTGGATAAACTCCGTAAAATTCTTCCTATTTTCTGACTTATGCCGTCATTTTGTCTTATTCTTTTTTTTTTTGTTCTCTTCTTCTCTTAACTACATGACTGAGTACCTAATTAGTATAGTCTATGATGAAAGACATTTATGTTCTGTTTTTTTAAAACAAAAAAAAAAGAAGAAGCGCGTTTTTATTGTTTATGTTATATTCTAGATGACGGAATGTTTTTCAGCTCGTTGTCAACAAGATCGAAAAATAGTTCGACGAGAATTTAATAAATGGACAAAAAATTTATTATTTCAAATTGGTAACAAAAAAAAAAAACTTAATTAAATAAACTATTTTGATTATTATTATTTTCTATTGTAAAGGTTTAGAAACAATAACAAAAAATCATTTCGATTTTGATGTTAATCTATTTAATCAAACAGATGGTTTGATATAAAAAAAAAAAATTCTATTATATAATTTTTTTTTTTTATATTAGATGAACAAATACCAATTGATTTTAATCCTGAACAAGAATGTTTATTTTGTATTAATCGACAAGAATATCTTGGCAATAAAAAAGCAAATAATCAAATCAATGAATATCATCATTCATTAACAGAAACAATTATTGATGATGATGAAAATGCACCATTAGATTTAAGTTTAAAACCTACAACAAATAATTCGTCCTTAATTACATCAAATAGTCGAACAAATATTAAGTTAGTATATTATCAATTGATTTAATTACATAGTAAAATATTTAGTTTTTTTTTTATTTTATTAATATTCAGAAAGTTCATAAATAGAATACTTTTATTTTATAGATTTAATTCAATAGAAATTTTCCATTGTTATAATTTAATTTTTCTTAGATCATCTTTAAAATCAATCTTTTAATATTACATAAAGATATATAAGATTTATATTCTCAGAATAGAAGATATGAGAAGTTCTAATATGAATACAAGTCATTTGTCCTATAGTAAAACTTCTTTCTAGAAAAAATTTTTCTCAATAAACAATTTATATTTAACAAAATTCTCATATAAATCTTTTCATTATTAATGTCAGAAAGTTCGTTTTTACTGTATAAAAACATAGAATCGTCTATAGATTCTAATCGATATCAGTTTCAAAATATCCTAGATCTTACACATTTCTAACTGTCTTATATATCAAAGATAGAAGATCTTCTATATGTCAACCCAAAAGTTCGTAGAACGATTTTAAAGAACCTTGTCGGATAAGATAATCTATTCAGAAATGAAAAACCAAATATACCATGTTGTAGAGCTTTTCGAGACGCGTCGAATGGTATATAATAAATCCTGTTTTCATAAGACTTTGAAGGAACTAGAGTCAATTCGATTACGCATCCTCACCTAAGTATGATAGGTTACTGAATATTGTCGTCCTTGGGATTAGTCGAAAGTATTTTTTCTCACATACAGTTTTTGACGGGCTACAACCTCATATATGTAGCATCTCCGGTCATCTTGTCAGTATAAATACATTAATATTTTTATTTATTTTAGACATCGACCATTGTTTGATATTAAGTCAGATATACCTGCAATGTATGGTCAAGAAGAATTTGATCGTTTTATGTCTGACATGATTACTAGTCAACTTGGTAAAAAAATAAATAAATAAAATTTAATTTCTCTTTTTTTTTTTTTTTTTTACTTTATTTATATATTCAGATTTTTCATCTCAATCATTTTTAAATATGAATCTCTTTCCAACATCATCAACTATTCCTATACATTATTCACAAACAAATAAAAAATTATCTTCATCTATACATGATACACACATAGCTCAATTAGCTAAACAAATGGCATATGAACGTATGTTACAAGAAATTGATTATCAACGTCATATATCAACAAATAAAAAATCAAAAATTTTAAATAATTTTTCATCATCTATTTTAACTGAATCTATTCATGTTAATCATATACTTAATGATGTTATGATGCGTATATTACGTGAAACATTTGAAAAACAACAACAACAACAACAACAACAACAATCATCATCTGTATCACAACCAAGAGCATCACGTAAAGGTGAATTATTATTTGTTAAAAAACAAAATATTAATAATGATGAACAATTTAATACAAATATTTTTAATCATTTTAATAATAATTATAATACTAAAAAACAACATAAGGTTTGTATATTAAATATTTAAACAAAAAAAACAAATCATTTGTTGTTAATTATAGGAAGATTGCTTTGAGATATATTTCTTCAATATCCTTTTTATTTTATCCTCTAGAAATGCAATATGGATAGTAGTTTATTTATTATAACAAAACATTATTAATATACCATCTTTTATCGTATAATAGGATAGTCTATGTTGTAGAAGGGAAAATATATATTCTAAATATTTGTGACATTCTCATAGTTATATCTACTGCGGTCTATAAGGTCCAAATTTTCACTCTTCGTATGTAAAACCTATTGGGTACAAAAATTTTCTAGCAAAATTTCATAGTCATTTCAAAGATAAGAGATATTTAGTTTGAGTATTTTTATATTCAATGACTGATGCAATGTACATATTTCTGAGAGAACGAATACTTTGAACTTATTGTTAATTTATATTATATCGAATAGTAAGATCTCATTGTTTGTTTGAAATATAAATACTTTAATCTAATCTAGATAATCCTATGAATATAAGAAATTGAAATTTGAGTTTTTCTTTTTGTAAAACAAATTTTACTTTTTTTTTTTTTTTTCATTTAGCATAATAATAAAGTAAATCCTTCATCTTCAAGTTCATCATCAACATCAAGTGTATCATCAACTCGTTCATCATCTATACATATAAAAAATAAAAATAAAACAAAATTAAATCATTCAAATAATTATATACCAAAAGGACGATCAAATGAAATAATCAATAATAATAATAATAATAAAATTATAATTGGTACAGATGGTAAACAAATCCGTCCAAAACGTGGTCAATATCGTCGTTATGAATCTGAACAATTAGCTAAAGCTGTAGCAGCTGTATTAAGTAATGAAATGTCTGTACATAAAGCTGGTTCATTTTTTGGTGTACCACATTCAACAGTAAGTTTTAATGAAAGAATTTTTTGTATGAAATTATTAATTATATTTTTTTGATTTAAGTTGGAATATAAAGTCAAAGAACGAAATATTAAAGTATCAACAACAATAACAAAAAATAAAAATGAATCTATATCTATTAATGACAATGATAATAATAATAATATAAATCATAGTTAGTATATGAAGAAAAAATCATTATGATTAATTTTTTTTTTGATATATTTAGATGAAAATAATGATGAAGATGATGATAAATTATCGAAAAGACTTACTACTTATCTTCCTCCATCGAACAGTAGTATAAATAATGATCATCAAGATATAATTGATAATGAAAATGAATCCAATGATGATGATGATGATGATAATAATAATGATCTTGAAGAATAAATTCAAATGATTTTCTTAGTCAGTCAATATTATTCTTTACATCTTTATAATGATTTTTCTTTTTTCCGTACATACATCAATTTTTACTTTTATTTAGCAGATGATTTCTGTTTCTATATCTGTGTACATATATATATGTATAGTACATGTTTTACTAGTCAAACCAAATACAAAAAAAAAGACAAAACAGAGAGAGAGAGAGAATCTTCATGTAACTTTCTTCTATGTATGTGCATTCCAAGTCCAAAAAAAAACCAAATTCGTGGTGGAGAATGAATCTTTGTTGTGTGAATTTTTTGTTCTTTTTAACATCATTTCCAAGTTTGTTTTCATTGTATATCTATATGTGTATGATTGTTTTGTGCTATTACTAAGAGATTAAGTATTTGTTTTCTTTTTTTTTTTTTCTTCTTAAGTCTGTGTTATTTGATTATGCCATCCAAGAAAACAAAACAATAAACAAAAAAAAAATAAAAAATTTTGTGTCATGTTTTGTGAAATAGAAATATAGATTTATTGTTGTTTTTCTATTTGAGTTTTCTATAGATATATGGGTTGTATATGTGGACGACAAAGTGTAGTTATACAAGGACAAAAATTTCATCTCATACGACAAATTGGCGAAGGGTACATTATTTTATATTTTATTGTTTTTCTAAGTGGGAGTTTTTTTTTTTTGTTGGTTATGATTTGAAACGTTTTGATATCTTCTTTTTTGTATAGACCATCATAGTTTGATTATTAAATTTGGTTTTTAGAAGTTTCAGTTATGTTTTTGAAGCTCGTGATACAGCTGATAATCATCTGTATGCTATTAAGAAAATGTCATGTCATACAAACGAAGAAGAAAAACGTGCAAAAGATGAAATAGAAAATTATCAAAGATTTTCACATCCAAATTTAGGTTTGATGTTTTTTTTTCTTTTTGTTTTCATATTGTCATTATTTTTTTTTCTTCTTAGTTTCATTACTTTATCATGAACAAATGCAATATAATCCAACTTCACATGTAACAAGTATTGTTTGGCTTGTTTTTCCATATTTCAAGGCAAATTATGATTTTTTGTAATTCAAATTGTGATCAAAAATTATAACTTTTTGTTTTTTTTTTTTATTTATAGAATGGTTCACTTCAAGATGCTTTTAATAAACAAATAAAATTTACTACTCGTATATTACTTGATTTATTTTTAAGTGTATGTGAAGGAGTTCGTCAAATTCATGAAAAACGAATGGCTCATAGGTAATTATATTTTGTTTATTTATTATTGTTATGAAATATTGTTTTTGTTTTTTTTTTTGATTTATAGAGATTTGAAACCAAGTAATATTATGTTATTAAATAATTCTCATGGTGTTATATTAGATTTCGGTTCAATGACACCGGCATCAATTTTAATGACTACTAGATCAGAAGCACAACAATGGCAGGTAATATATTTCTATTAATTATTTATTATTTCACATATATATATTCTATTTTTAGGATTGGGCAGAAGAAAATTGTTGTGTACAATGTAATCAATCTTATGTTCTCTTTTATTTATTTATTTATTTATTTAAATAGATCGTGCACCGGAATTATTTCATATTGAAACAAATTCTTTAATTACTGAAAAGACTGATATTTTTTCTCTTGGTGGAATTCTTTATGCATGTTGTTTTGGTAAAGGTCCATTTGATGATGTTTATTCAAGAGGAGATAGGTATATATTTAATTAAATATTTTTAAGTTTCAAATCGGGTTTTTTTTTTCGATCGAAACAATATTCATATGATGAATAATAGAAATGTCTTGAATATTTTAGTTTTAGCTTTTCTAGTAGAATGTAAATATATGAATAATATTTGTTTTGTATATACAATAAAATTTCGATATCGGCTTAGAAAATTAATTCATTAAAGATAGTCATTCTAAATATACGGAGCAGAGATGAAATCGGTATCGAGTACCGGCCGGTAACCAGTAAATCGATCTGTCTAACCTTACTATCAGTTTTAGTTGTCAAAAATTCAGACTAACTCCATCTCTATATGAGGTTTGTGATACAACTTGGCAAATATAGTTTGTCACGCGATAAACTATGTTCTCTACATCTAAATCACTTTTTGTTCGGATTGTGAGTTATCGAGGTATCATGCGTTACCGGTCGGAGAAATTTTAGACAAGTTCCATCTCTGATCCGGAGAGTGAATCTTCCAATCTTGAAAATTAGTCTTGTTTCTTCAGCGTCGTGTTGTGTTTTTTCCTCATCAACTTAATCAGCCACTTGAATTATCGATTCTCTTTCCAATTCTGACGATCGCAGAACATATCTACTAACTATTCAAATCTAAAAAAGCTTGTCGACTATCGAAAGTCTTTTAATAATAATTTTACTGTCCGACAGACTAAAAATATTTTTCGTTTTCCATATAAAAACTTAATATTTTATTTTAGTGTTGCTTTAGCAGCTGCAAGTGGTCGTATTGAATTACCAGTTCAATCGACAACTTATCCATCTAGTATAATTGATATAATGCTTGCAATGCTTCAAACAGAACCTAATCGACGGCCATCAATTACTGAAATTATTGAAAATATTTCTAATGCATCTCGTTTAGTTATGAATATTGTTTAAAAATTTCTTTTATTTTATCGATAAAAATCTTCTCTTTTTTTTTTTACTTCTTCTCTTGTTAACGTTTACAAAACAAATGTACACAGTTTCTAGAATATAGTCACAAGGTCGAAAGAAAACAAAAACAAACAAACAAACAAGGAATAATCTGAACGGTAAAAATAATAAAACAAACAAAAAGAAACAGATCTGTTTTCTATAACCAAATTTCTAATTGACTATCTTTACAAATAATTTCATATGTTTCACTATGTTTTAAACGAAATGAATGAATTTCTAAATAATTTCGTACTTGTCTATCATCTTGTGTATATTTATCTAAAATATATTTATTTGTTCGTTGAATTTTTAAACTAATTAATTTAAAAATATCTAAAATTGTTTTTATAATTTTTAAATCAACATATAATTTTGAATTAATATCAATAGTTAAATGTTCTAAATAAGGAAATAATATTGGTAAATTATTTAATAAACGATTTAAACGATTTTGTCTATCCATTTGCATACAATTTAATTCAAGTGTTTTTATACGTATTAAATATGATATATTAGGTGAAGGAATTTTAAGAAAATATTTTAATAATAATGGACCTGTAACTGATAATATTGTTAAACATGGTGTTAATGAAAATATTATTGGAAATAATCGACCATCACATTCATTTATAATAAGATGTTTTATATGATAAAATGTTATATTCATTATTTTTGATGATATATTTAATGTATCAGTATTTGGTAAAACAATATTTTGTATTTGTAATATATTTGTTTTAATACAATAATGTTTTAATAAATAAATTAATTGTTGAGTTATATCATTAATTGTACCTTGTGTTGCATCAAGAACAATTTTTTTAACTGATTTAAAATTTTTTTCATAATTTATATTATTAAATAAACGTGAATTTGATGTTGATAATTTTAATGTATCAAATGCATATGGTAATGTAAATAATTTAAAACGTGTTTTATTTGAATGTGGACGCCATATCATATGTCCTATTGGCCAACGTATATTAAATGATGAAAATGATGTTAAAATTAAATTTATACGTAAATGTATATCATCAATTGGCATATCAAAACAAAGTTGAAGTTGTTTTAAACGTGGAAATGAATTTTCAAGAAAAATTTCCCAACGATGACCACTAAAATATATATATATAGAATTCAAGAAGAATATTAAACGAAAAAGTTTGAAATGAAGAAGAGAAACAAAAAAACATTTGGTTGAAAACAGTGATTTATCTACTGGGTGGGCCGAGTGGGCGCCGCCCACCCGAAATTTTGATTCGCCCATTCGAAAATATACAGCAGCCATT